CTCCCAGTCTTGATAGTCCCCAAACACACCCCTGTCTAAAGAGCCGTGACATCTTGCCCTAATGAAAGGTGGCCAGCTTCATCTCACTGCCTTCTCTGGAATGTTCCTGTGCAGTGCGGTCACCTCCCAGCTGCCCATAGCAAACATTCAGGGGCACCGCGCTCAGGGCTAGTTCTGAGAGAGATATCTTCTAGGATAAATTGAGATCCCAAAAAACATTCACCAGTCAATTAACAAATATTTATTGACTATTGTTCATAGGAAGTGAAGAGCCACTAAAGAGAATTTGGTATAAGAAGACGGAGTCCTCTAACTCTTCACACTCTAGATGTCTGTCGAACACATAAACACAAGGGGACGCCAACCCCTAACAGAGCAGCAGACCGTCAGGCCAAATGAAGGGCACGGGTAGGACCTGCCATCAGGCTCACTCTGGACTTGGGGGTGAGACAGTGAGGCCATCCGCTCAGAGAAGAGGGAGATGCAGTATCAAGGAGGGGAGGGGAGACACAGGGATAAGAGGGAGGGGCATCACTTGTATTTGAGAGCAAAGCGAGTGAATCTGCAATAAACGCTAACTTGTTTTTTTTTTTTTTTGTGCATAGTGTCAGTGTGACTACGTTCCACAGATGAATAAGATTAATTTTGACTTAAGCATATTCGAAGAGATGAAGCACGCTGAGGTTGTCTGCGGCTCACTTTCTCTGGCTTCGCTATGAATCGCGGGACTGTCGTGAGGCTGGCCCAGCAGAGCTTCCACCTGTGCTGAGAGCGTTCCTTCCGGTTAAGCCCCTCCTGTCAACCGTTCCAACCAAATCAATTCGAAGTTACCATTGCTTGCAATGAGGGGATTACGCTGATTGACTACAGAGCTGGCCCTGACATTTCTCAGATTAGTAGACCTGGGAGGCCCAGACATTTTTCCGTTTGAAACCTGCGGTCAATTTTTCTATACCTTAGTTCCAGATAATTAGGTTCATCTAATCCAGGTGGTGTCGGTAAATCATAAATGACATAAACTGCCATAGGCATACTGTAGCTCCTTCTGGGCCACCAGTGTCCTAATGTGTGCTTTTTGGTGTTCCACCCTGAGGGCATCTGCGATGATTTAATGAACAGGTGACTGCAAGCTGAGGCTGAGAAAAAGTAAGTGTGAAGGGAGTACCTAACACAAACACACTTCCCGAAGGCACAGGTGCTGCTTCCGTCTGACCAGCATCCACCCCTGGCTGTTAATCATGGAGGGTGGAGCACTCACTGCTCATCTGGCTAAACTTCTGCTCATTCCACTCACTCTTGTGGGGCTGACAATCAAGGAGCTTGCTCCAAGCTGAGCTCTAGAAGGAATTTGAATTTTGATAGGAGGGACAAAGGACTAAAAGGGTTTGGGATTGATCAGTCCAATGGCAGCGCCTTGCAAGACTGCTTAGAGTCCCTGAGTGCTGTTCTGACGGGACTTGCCTTTCCAGAAGCGTGAGTGGTGGGTGATCTCCGCCTCGGTGCAGTAAGCGCCTCCACGATTTTTGTCATTTGTTATTCTTTTTTAAAGAACGTAGCCAGAGGTGATTTTTGTGGCTTGCAACCAAAGATTTAGCGTATGCACTTTCCTTCCTCCGTGACAGCACAGCATTAGGGATGGAAAGGTTCAAACTGTGCATCACCGAGGAATCTGCAGGAAGCAGGGATGACATCACCGGTGCCTGTCACGGTGTTGGTTTTAGTGCGGCTGATTTTAGAGAAAGCAACAGTGAACAAAGAGACCACAGTGAGAGAACCAAGAGGTTGGGAGTCTGTTTACAAAGGAACCATCTCTTCAAAACACTCGTAACAATTAACAGTAAAACAGATCGCCACAGACGTCATTATACATGAATTTAGGTACAGTATGTGATGACAAACACCTGTGATTCCTAATTGCACTCACCGAGAAAAAACATTCATCCCCAGAAGTGCGTCAGGCTTCTGAGCTAAAAACAAACAGGGGGTATCCTTGTTGCTGTTACTTTCCGGGCCAGTTAACTGGGAAGACAAAAGCTATTTGACCCTTGCACTGGAGTTATGTGCCTGCTGTCACATTCCTACCAACCGACCATGCAAGCTGACCACTCAGTGACAAATCTAAAAGGGCTCTTCCTACAGACCATGGATGCTACACTTGACATCATAAGCGCTAGATAACCTGAGACGAAGGGTCCTTTAGAGGACCTGAGATTTTATAATAAGAAAAATTATAATCTACTTTTTAAACGACAAAATATGCCCAGGATTTTTTACAACATAATTCCAGGAAGTACGCGTTATCAATATCAAATGCACTACGGAGACAAGGAATCTTGAGAAAAGGCCACTGGATTTGATAAGAGAAAATCTTCAGTAGAACAGCGGGGACAGAGCACATTCATAGGGGAAAGGGAAGGGAAGGATAGAAAATAGAGAAAAGAATAGAAAAGAAAAGGGAAGATGGAAAAGTAGTTGAAAGAATCAAGCAAAATTCTTTTTGTTTCTAAGCGAGGGGAGAGCTGGAGGCAGGAGAGCTGAAGCGGTAAAGGACAGAGCATTTGGTCTGTGAAGTCCGTCCCGCAGCGCTCTGTGCTTTGCAGTGCCCTGTGCTGTTACTCTGCTGTTACTCTGCTGTTACTGTCTTGAAATCCTTTGTATTTTCAGAACCAAGACCCTGCATTTTCATTTTGCACTAGGCCCTGTGAATTATGAGAGTGCTCTGAAAGGTGTAAAGCATTGTATGTAGGATGATTAATGTCTCTCCAAAGACGCCCACACCCTAATCCCCACAACCTGTGTGTATGTAACTCTATGTGGCAAAAAGGACTTTGCAGATGCGATTAAGGATTTTGCGATGGGGAGATTATCCTGGATGGCCTGGGTGGACCCTATGTAATCATAGGGTCTTTATAAGAGGGAGGCAGTAGACTTAGGTTCAGAAAGAAAGGGCATGTGACAATGGAGGCAGAGGGAGCGAAGGTGTGACAATGTGATACACAGTCACGAGCTGAGAAATGCAGGTGGCCTCTAGCAGCTGGAAAAGGCAAGGAAACATATTGTCCCCTAAAGCTTCTAGAAGGAAAGTGCCCAGCTGATCCAGTTTGGACTTCTGACTTCCAGAACTGTAAAGTAATAAGATTTAAAGCATTAATTTGAGGTTGTTATAGAAGAGATGGCTAATACACTACATAAATGTAAGGGTATGTATTTCTAGTTTTCTAGACATCAAGTCTATTAATAAATAGCATTTATTAATTAAAAATAGCATTTACTGAATACTTCCTCTGTGTCTATAATCTCATGTAACAATGTTTGATGGGGGCATTATTGTATTCACATACAGATGGACAAACTGAGGCGCCCAGAAGTTAAGTAACTTGTCTAAAACCACATAAGAAACTAGAATGTTTACAGGTGGGAGCTGAACTCCAAGTTTTTCTGTTTAACTCCATTCCCATTTCAGTATAAACTTTTGGGTTTGTTCCCTTTCCTTGGAGTGGGAGTGGGACAGGGCAGAGGATGTCATCCGCGACTGAGATGGAGGGGCCGAAGCCACGTCTACAGGTAGCAAGTGGCTTACTAGGCCCCCGCAGTGGATGAGGCCACAGGACAGTGACTGAGACAGAGAAAGCGCCTCCGACTCAAAGTCGAAGATCCTAATGTACCGTAGGTATTGGGTGGCCTTGGAGCGCGTGGATCACTGACGAAGACACACAGGAGGCCGGGCCGTGTTTCCAGGACCCGCGAGGGGAAGGCGGTCCCCCACCCGCGCCTCCCTTGTTTTGGGGCCCGCGTGGTCCCAACTCATTGGCAGCGCTGGAGCCCGAGCCCAAGAGGCGGAGCGGCGGCAGCACCGGGTTCGCTCCGCCGCGGCCCCGCCCACCGCTGGCCACAACTCC